CTATTACTCAATAGAACCCTAAATTATGTATAAGTTTCAGCACTACCCTTCAAAATGGGCAAAAGTTATCCACTAATCAGATCTTGTCACACAACTAACATAGATCTAAAAAGTTAAGTCACTTGGTGAGACAGTCAACTACTTGCACGCAAGTACCTACATGATTTATCACCATTAGTCTACTGATCAACTTCTCTTTAATGAGGAATCTATCAATCTTCACCTGCACTAGGTTGTTAGTAAAATTGTTGATTTCTTGTCTCACCACAATTTTATTTGAGCTCCTTGGTCAACCTTCGGCTTTACCAATAGAGCTCTCAGTCATAACAACTCGGCAATTCCTTAGGCCATGACCATGCACTCTGCCTCTACATCATTTGACTGCTTCTTGCTCGTCCAAGAGACCTAAGTTGCCCCTTACGAATATGCAATATCTTGATGTGGGCACCATGTCATTAGCACAATTAGCCCAATCACAGTCATAGTAACCCTCAATGCTTAAATTCCCATTTTTTCTAAAGATCAATCGCTTCAATGGTGCACTTTTCAGGCACCTCGAAATTGGATACATTGCATTCATGTGGCCCTTTTTGCAATCATACATGTAGCAACTCACAATGCTTATTGCAAATAATATGTAAGGATGAGTGTGACTCAGATTGATAAGATGGTCTACCAACTTTTGGTACCTCTCACTATCAACTAGCACTCCCACCTCTACACTCAACTTTTCCTTCTAATCAATTCGTGAAACATCCTAAAATGTATGTCTTTGTAAGCAAGTTTAGTGTATAGTTTCTTTGAGATAAAATAATCCCCTCTACTCCACAAGCAACCTCAATGCCAAAAAAGTATTTAAGCTTTTCTGGGTTCTTCACCTCAAACTCTTTACTTAAACATGTCTTCAATTAAGCAATCTCTCATTCATCATAACCAGTGACAATAATATCATTCACATATATCAAGAATAGTAATGTGACCATAATTTCATTGAAGGAAGACTATGTGGTTAACATTGATATGCTAATAGCCCGTTCCTATCATTGCTCTCCTAAACCTGTCAAACCAAGCTCAAGGAGGTTGTTTCAAACAATACAGTGACTTCCTCAGTCTACATACCCTGCCCATTGTTTGGTTTGTGTCGAAGCCTGGGGGCATCTCCATGTACACCTCTTTTAGCAGATCTTTATGAAGAAACTCATTCTTCACATCCAGTTAGTGTAACCTTCATCCACCATTAACAACCAGAGAGAGGAGTGTCCTGACTGTGCTCACCTTCTATACTGGTGTAAATGTCTCATCATATTCAATGACATGTTTGATTATAGTCTTTTGCCACAAACTGTGCTTTGTAGTAATCAATCTTTCTTTCTGAGGTTTGTTTCACTATGAAGACCAGTTTCCACGCTACTACCTTTTTTCATGTTGATAAGAATCTGAGCTCCCACTTCATGTGCACCAAATTCCTCTAGCATGACAGTCTTCCCCTTTGAATCCTCCTTAGCTGCCTGCCAATAATTGGGAATATAGATAGTGTCTAAAAATGCAATGAATGCTCTGTGTAAAAATGATATGTTAGAATATGAGACAAACTAGGCAATGTTATGTGAGAAAAAAAAATGATCAGGAGAATAAAGATCTGGGGGATGACCCGCATTACTGTGAGATGTCTTCCATAAAGTCATGGGAGGGGAAGAAGAGACAAGAATCACCACCTATATAATCGAATTCCAAGTGGATGGTGAAGGTGTCTCAAAAGTTTGAGTAGAACATAACAAGAGACTTGATGACATGAGTGACACAACAAACATTATTCCCCCTTTCTGCCTCTTTCTTGTATACACCTTCGGCTCCCTTTGAGCTTGAATCCCACCGCCTTTGGGCTCATTTAATTATTTTTCGGCTCTTACTCGATTAGTCCTTCCCACACAATAGAATAAGGCATCATTCCCACTTATATAAATCTCTCGCCTTCACTACTCTCCTCGTCTAGCCACATACCACCAGTATCTGGCAAGCCACCAAAAGTTGAGGTCACTTATAAGATGTAATACAGTTTGAATTTTCTAAAAGTGACATTAATACTTACAAACAATATTTTCTCTATTAGACTTCAATAAACATTCCTTTTATGGGTGACATAATAACTAATGAAAACAAACTTCATAGCTCTAAATCCAACTTCCATATTGATGGTCTATTATCCTTGAGAAAACATACAAATCAATTACTTTCAATAGGAGAATCTCGTCATTATATTATTTCAACAACTAATAAGGAGATTACCACTCTAACACTCTTGAGAGAATTTTGTTGATCAATTGAGCAGCTATTAAAACCGCTTGCTCACACAAGGGCTTTGGGTCATTCCTCAAGGTCATCATGCTTCAGGCTACTTCTGAAAGATGTTTATTCTTCTTTTCTACTATGTTTTTTTGGTGTGCATAAACATGTGGTTTGATGTTGCATCCTTTGGGCTGACATTTATTTCTTAAACGTCTTATTGGTATACTATGTCCCATTATCAGACCACAATACTTTCACTGTTGCACCGTATTGAGTCTAAATCACCCTTTTTAAATTTTTAAAGCAGACAAACACATCACGATTGATTCTCGTATGGTATAACCAAGTAATATAAGAAAAATAATCAATGAATGTCACAAAATATCTATAACCATTCATTGAAGTTGCAGAATAAGGTCTCCATACAATTGAATGCACAAAATAAAAAAACATAGTAACTCCTATTACTATAACTAACATAAGAGCTCCTAGTATGCTTAGCAAACTCACAAGCACCACAACAAGTTTTTGTTTATTTTTCTTTTCATAAAAGATGGAGGCAAAAGACTCAATAGACTAAACAAAGAATTTCTCATGAGCTCGTAAGGTAACAACAACATCTCGTGCACTCCTCCCATATCATTCTACTCCATCACTCTCTACCATGGATGTCAAAGCTGAGTCCATCCCCTCTCTATCCATGTATCATACTCCACTTTATCATGTGTCACTATCAAGTCGCAAACTAGTCCCCTTCTATTGAATAATCCCCCTAGGAATATCAAATTAAATAATATGTATTAGTTGGAGTATAATGACACTAATGGATAATCACTGGAAAGAAAAGAGCATGCAAAATAATAGACATAGTCATAAAATTTGTTATAATTAGTACACCTTACTGTACACTAACCAACATGTTTTGTTGTACCATCAATGGTTTGAATATTCTCTGGAACTATTAGATGAGTATAGTAAGGGAAATCACTAGCGACATCTGTCATATGTTGAGATGCACCTGAATCTAGTATCCATTTTGGTGTTCTTATGATAGATATAGAAGCATGAATATGTGTATTATGAGTACTTTTGGTCGAGTGAGCATAAGTAGCATTGTTCCTCTTTGATAATGATAAGGTGGATGCATCCTCAGTCAGATCACTTGTCGCTCCCTACTTCGTCTTCAATATCTCCAGAAACTCGTAATTCTCTTCGGTAAAGATCACCCCTGACTCTCCTTCATTCTCTGCTACCATTAAACTTGCCCTATAGTCCCCCTCTTCCTTCTCATTGGCCTCCGTGACTACTACTATAGCCCTAGATTGTCTACTTTCATTTTTCTCTCTCTCACTTGGTGGCTTTTGACAAGCTTTACTTAGGTGTCCCAATTCTCCACACTTGTAGCACCTGTGGGTCTCCTTCTGAGCACTTGTCATACTTAAGATTCAGGCAGCCAAAGTTGATCGCATGTCTGGAAGTCCACTTGGACCATAGTATAGCCTCATTCGACTCTCCTCCTATCTCTTCTCGGTGATAGCCTCATCTTCTGAAAGAATCATTGCCTGACTTAGGAGGATCAATCTCCTTAAATCAAAGGCTTGGTTCAAATGAGATAGAAACAACATAGTCGTCATCTATGTAAAGTTCTCACCTTTATTTCACCCTGGATTATCACAATTTGACATAAGTAAGAAGTGATCAAGATCTTTCCATAGTCGCTCTTGCTCTATGTAGTATTCTTGAATTGATCTATCACCTTATACCTCTGCCTCTATGTCACATTAAATCTGGAACACCCTCATGTGGTTCTCAGTCCCAGCATAAGTCCTCTTCAGCTTTTCCTAGATGCCCTTCACCTTTCGAATGATTTGAGAAGTCAGGTGTAAAGTATGGCGTGTTTGGTCCTCCACTCACCCCCTTCAACATTGCCAGTCTCTAGCTCAGCTTTGAATCTTGTCAGATATCTCTTTAGTCTCTTCTTTGTTAAAGCAGCCTCAATCCAATGCGATCACTCAGATACGTGATTGGTCTATCAAGCTTTATATCCACAAGAGGGAGATCCAACTTCACCCGCATCAGAGCATGTACTCAGGCAGTAGCTCTTATTGAGACACTAACTCTTTGTATGAGATTGATAAAGACCTTTAGGATCTTTGCATCTACCTTTCCCAGAATCTCCAATCCATTACAACATGAAACATCACCTTCTCTTAAAATCATCAATCACAGTCACAATGATGCATGTCAAGATCACACATGACTTCCTCTCTCTATCCCGCAAGCAAAACCATGCCACCGCAATCTTCTTTTTTGCATGATAGAGTTGCAATCTTGTTTTCTATTAGCAAGATAAAGATTCTCTTTTTTTGTAAGATAGAGCCACGATCTTCTTGTCCATCATGCAAGACAAATCCGCTTGATCCTTTGCAAGTAGATACCACAACCAATTCCTCATCATTCTTCTTCCTTACTGTCACAAATCCTTCACGTGACCCAAGAGGAATAGAGGTCTTATGCCTTTTTCTTTCACTCTTTTGCACCAAAGCTGTCATCCCTATTCTTACACAACATAAAACCAAGGCCATCACTTGCTTCCCTTCACCATTCAAACTGT